ACTTCAGGTCTTCCTCAAGGTAAGGGGCCATGCGTCGTGTGGCATTCATGTATTTCTTAAACGTAATATATGCAAGACTGTGACATCATTTCTATCAGGTTCCTTTCTTTTTATTAATGTGTCCCTGCAAAAGCTTTTGAGCTTTGGGCCCTAAGCCCATTTTCGCCATTGGCCCTGGGGTTTGCACTTGCACTGCCTTTTATAGCACCGGGATTTTCAGGAGCACACGTCATGTGACGGCAGAACTGACTGTACCGGCAGTGGGTCCCCAAGGAGCTTCCTAGGAGAGAGCGCACCCCCTGAACAATGCTCTTGAGTGAAGCACATTCCAGGGAACGCGGGTCTCCCACATTCTCTGTGGCACAGATGCAGTCTTGCTGTGCTCCGCTCGGCGGTGAAGCGTTTCTCTCCAGACAGGGGGTGGGGTGGAGGGATGGCAAGCTGAGATCCAGGGCTACCCCTGCCTGACAAGCCCACGGCTCTGTCTGCTCGGAGGGAGTTCCCGAACCCGCCTGTGAAAAAGCAGGAGAGTTTTTCATTGCATTTGGAATTGGAGGGAGTTAATTACATGAACAAGAGTGTATCTTAAACACCAAAATGAGACCCTACTAATGACCTAAAGAAGCGCTTCCAAACCTTACAGAAAAAGATGATATTTATTAATCACTCGTGGCCCAAGGCAACTGGTGAGGAGATCTGACTACCCCAGAAACCCACCCAGGGTTTCTGCTCTGAGGGTTCAGGGGGTCCAGTGTCCCTGTACCTTCAGAGGCCGGTGTGCCATGGACGGCTTTGACCCAAGGAGAGGGTAAAACTGAAGAATCTCACAAAAAGTGAAATCATGGGACCACCACTCAATGGGAAAGGGGAAGAGAGGAAGGGAAGGAGAGGTATACGGCAGTTTTTAAGCTCCTACTGGAAGAAATAAAGCTGTTTCCGTATTAAGGTTACCACACATCCCTGGGGCACCTGGATGGCTCGGTCAGTTGAACATCCGACTTCAGCTCAGGTCATGATCTCACAGTTTGTGGGCTCGAGCCCCACGTCGGGCTTTGTGCTATCAGTTCAGAGCCCGGAGCCTGCTTCGGATTCTGTGTCTCCCTCTCTCTCTGCTCCTCCCCCACTCGCACTCTGTCTTTCCCTGTCTCTCAAAAAATGAATAAATGTTAAAAAAAAAAAAAATTAAGGTTACCACACACCCCAATGTACCCAGGGTAGTCCTGGTTAATGTGACCCCTCTTATTCTCAAAGGGTTCCACTCATCCTATTCATATTCCAACAAAGTTGACACTCCTTAATAAATATTTGGTCAAACTGTGGTATAGTAAGAAATATGTCTGGTCTTTGTCCCTGGGATCTAGCATAGAGAGCCTAAAACCCTTGCAATTTCCTGAGTGATAGGAGCATCTTTTATTATCCACAATGCCCCCTTTTCTTTTTTTTTTTTTTTTTTTAATTTTTTTTTCAACGTTTGTTTATTTTTGGGACAGAGAGAGACAGAGCATGAACGGGGGAGGGGCAGAGAGAGAGGGAGACACAGAATCAGAAACAGGCTCTAGGCTCCGAGCCATCAGCCCAGAGCCTGACGCGGGGCTCGAACTCCCAGACCGCGAGATGGTGACCTGGCTGAAGTCGGACGCTCAACCGACTGCGCCACCCAGGCGCCCCATAATGCCCCCTTTTCAAACACAGCTGAGTTTATGCTAATAAGGTGAGGCTTGGTGGGCCCCTAGAGAGCTTCCGGATGGAGACTGGTCCCCAGAGACACCAGCCATATGATTATAGGGTTGGAACTTTCAGCCTGGGACCCCCTCAGGTTGGAAAAAGAGAGGGAAAGAGAGAGAGGCTGCCGATTGAGTTCAATCACCAATGGATGATTAATCAATCATACTTACAAAGTGGAACTTCCATTAAAACCCCAACGTGGTGAGATTTGGGAGCCTCTGGGTTGGTGAACATATCTACGTGCCAGGAAGGTGGCAATCCGCACCCGCCAGACTTGTGACTGGTGTCTGAAGGGAAGTCAATCTCATGAGACTGAACCCTGAAACTTATGGAGTCTAGCTCTCGGTAGTTAATGTCAGAATAAGACTGAAATATTGGACACCCAGTTGCTGACAGAGAATTAGAGACAGCCATTTCAAGTTTTCATTCTAACCCCTTCTAGAAGACCCAAAGTCTCAGACAAAGGGTTTGACATCTGAGTGGCAGATGTCAAATCGAAAATCGCCCTTCCCCCTCAGCAACAGCAACAGTGATCCTGGGGTCACGTGTCTCCCTGAGATGCATCAAGGCTCCATGTTGCACACGTCCTCAGGCACCACTCACCATGTTTCATGTGAAGGTGTGGACTCCATCTTCTTTAGCTCCTAGGAAGGAGGAAATCAAGGTCACATTTCTGGCACCCTCTCTATCTGATCACTCCTGACTCTGCCATCTCTTCATGATTTTCTTTTCCCTGCTCAGGTAGTAGATGAGAAGTTTTGCAAACCAGCTGGCTAAATAGATGTCTAATTGTGCAACAAAATGCCAGTGCCCTGGGCACCTGGGTGGCTTAGTCGGTGGAGCACCGACTCTGGCTCAAGTCATGATCTCATGGGGTTCCCTGCTGTCAGGACAGAGCCTGCTTCAGATCCTCTGTCGCCCTGTCTCTCTGCATCTCCCCCACTCGTGCTCTCTCTATCTCAAAAATAAATAAACATTAAAAAAAACGCCAATGCCCTTTGTGGCAAACATCCCACCTAAAGCCTTGTGCTTGTCTTAGTCTTAGGGAGGGAACAAGAGGGTCTCCCTGACCAAATGCTACACCGTCCACAAAGCCAACCACATCCACCTCCCTCAGTCCCCTTCTTCTATCTCTTGGAGAGGGTGTGGATCTATCCCATTCCATCTTTTCTCAGTAAGATTTGTGAGGACTTGCATACTCCGAGGAGGACACATATCTACTATCCTGGCAAGTGACATTATTAACACATCTGCCACAGAGTCCTGCTCACAGGGAAGAGGCCTGAAGCTAATCAGGTCTCTTAGGAAGCATATGTGAGACTCTACAGAGGCCTCCAAGAAACATTAGGTGGGACATCACTGAGCTCTGGGGTCCTGCATTAAAAATTGAATTACCCAGGACAGGGGCGCCTGGGTGGCGCAGTCGGTTAAGCGTCCGACTTCAGCCAGGTCACGATCTCGCGGTCCGTGAGTTCGAGCCCCGCGTCAGGCTCTGGGCTGATGGCTCAGAGCCTGGAGCCTGTTTTCCGATCCTGTGTCTCCCTCTCTCTCTGCCCCTCCCCCGTTCATGCTCTGTCTCTCTCTGTCCCAAAAATAAATAAAAACGTTGAAAAAAAAATTAAAAAAAAAAATTGAATTACCCAGGGCAGCTGGGTGGCTCAGTTGGTTGAGCATCCAACTTCGGCTCAGGTCATGATCTCACGGTCTGTGAGTTTGAGGCCCATGTCGGGCATGCTGCTGTCAGCACAGAGCCTGCTTCAGATCCTCCGTCCCCCTCTCTCTGCCCCTTCCCCGCTTGCTCTCTCTCAAAAATAAATAAACATTTAAAAATTGAATTACCCATTCCTTCATATACATATTTATGTGTTCATTCAACAAATATTTATTGAGCACGTGCCTGTGTTAGGCACCAGTAATCGCAATCTAATCTAATGAAAGAGAAAGGAGAGGTAATCTTTTTGGCCTGGCCCAAGGTTGTTACCTCCTTCCAGCTTTCCTCAATCTATCCTTCACCTCCATCTAGAGTAGATCCCCTCTTTTTCTGAGCCCTGGTGGTGGACCAGGACCTGTTAAAGACCTGCGACTGTTCACTTGCAGCCCTTCAGAATGCTTTTTGGCTACAAATAACGGGAAACCCATCCAGCTGTGGCTTAAATAAAGCAGACGCTACTGTACTTCATAAGACTAGGAGTCTGAGAATCCAGGGTAGGTCAAAGGTCAATGAAATCCTTCAAGAGCCCAGTCTCTTCCTAACTTATAGCTCCTCCTTCTTAAGTTGCTAGGGTTTTTGTTTTGTTTTGTTTTGTTTTCTGTTTTTTGGCTTTTTCCATTTTCACGCATCATCTCAAGGTCACACTATGGCCATAGCAGTTATATATAAGTCCTCAAACCAACATCTCACTGAAGAAAGAACTGGCACAAACAACAAGGTTTTTCCTTCAGAGGCTCTGCCTTTTTTCTAGGAAGGGAGGGCCCCAAGCACACCTCCCCTCTGATCTCTTTGGCCAGAACTGGAGCCAGAAAGACTCACGATGAGGGATGACATTGCCCGGGCTGCCTTAGACATACGGTGACTCACCCCTGGGACTTACTACATCCCAGGGAGAAGGGTGGAAAGTGGGGAAAGCCACTGGGCTTGGAATGGCCAACCTTGACCAGTCAGCCCCTCAGTGCCCCTGAGTCTGCAATGTCTGCACCCTTCTTGCCGACATCCCAAGTGCAAGCCCCTCCTCTCTTCCCCCTCCCAGGAATACCGCCCTTCCCATAAGCTGCTGGAGCCACCCCGTAAATGTTTGTGAGTAAAAGACAACCAGACCAAACCAAAACAAAGTTTGGTGTTATGGAAGGTATGGAGAGAAGAATTTGGAAGAAGAGTATTTCATAGACTTAGTGAACAAATAGAACCCATAGACCAGTAGCTCTTTGCCAGAAGACCATGAATGAGTGTTCCATGAACCCCGGAAACTATAGGAAGCATTTTACATAAATGTGTATATGCAGGTTGGGTAGGGTATGTCCTTGGTTTCTATGGAATCCCAAAAATTTCTGCAACACCAAGTCTTGGAAGCCCCACTTCAAATGGCCTGCGGCAACACTCTCCAATTACCCAGGGGCACACCAGGAGCCAGGGTCTTACAAGGAAGGTAACCCGACTGGGCAGAGCACCCAAGCATCCAGTACACTGGAATCTTACCACTTCTCCTCCCATGGTCACAGACTCCAGCTGTTCTATTTTAAGAGGCCGGTCCAAAGGGTGTTATTATTCTGTCTTCCAGCACCGTCTGAGAAGAGTCTCTCACCATGACTCACCACCATCCTCCCCTGAACAATGGCCTGTGGGCTCCATCACTCACTCTTGCTGACACACCGGACTGCAAAGAGCTGATTCTAAGTGAGCGGTTGTGTGGGTATATGGAATACTGAGGGCAGGGGCAGAGGGAGGAAGGTGGGCTGGAGGTAGAGGCAGTACTCACCATCCAGACTTACCGCAACCCTGGGGAAGGGAACGGAAATTTATTTATAGATGCTGGAGGCTGGTGACCTACCCATTAAGTTCCAAGTGGCCTCTGATGGCCCAAAGTGTATACACAGAAGGGGGGGGTCCGAAAGAAGCCCCTCTTCTCTCCTCCGTCAGTGGGCAGCTCCTTCCCACCTATCAGGATGGAGAACAGGCTGCTGCTGAGTCAGCTTTGGGAGGCTGAGTGAGCTAATTGGAGGATAGCGCCCACCCCCATAATTCAGAGTGAGACGAGACACAGAAGAGTTTCCCCTGTTCAGCCTCTCTGGTTTGCACCCTGGTTAAGCCCTGATCTTGTAACACTATCTTGGGAAACATGTCTGGTTCTCAGGTGGTTTCCTTAAAGGGAAAGTTACAAGGCTGGTTTTTACTATTATTCCCAACAGCCTCTGATTGCATGAAAGTAACTCTGGGAAGGACCTAGAGAGGCCAGGAGGAGAGACACCTTGGGGGACTAATGAGAGGCTTCCAAGAAGAGGAAAGAGTCAGACTCTGGCCTCTGAACATCTCATACCTATGGTTGTCAACATGGCTGCCCCTAGAATCAGAAAGATTTGTCAACATCAGGATTGTTTACTCCTTACCTACTGACTCAGAATCTTGCAGAGGATGGGATGGGCACCTGGACTTTTCGAAAGCTCTCCATGAAACTCTGAAGCAGCTGGTGCTGGAGGTCCAAGATCTGAGCCAACCCAGATCTGCTCCACTGCCTGTATAGGAGATGCCCATTCGAGGGCAGTCCCCACTTCAAAAGGAAAGAAAAGGCCTTCTGAAGCCAGAATCTCTCAAAACAATGGGGTCCAGACCTCAGCCAGGTCCTCTGAGGGCAGCGGATCTCCTGTTTCTAGCTCCTCCAAGCTTGCACGCATGTGTCACCCTGCACTGCCAGCACCCCCCTCCCCCCCAAGAGGCATCATTCCCAGAGCCACAAGTCTATGGAGATCCTGACTGGCAATACCTCTGTCATCTAGCGGCTGACAGACACAATACCAGAAACAGTGCACTTATTATCACTGGAGAAAAAAAAAAAATTGAATGAGATTTCGAATAACCACGGAATGGCTCACACAGTGCTCAGGAATTCATTATCAAAGTTGGCTCCGCTCCTCTCAGACGTGCCTTTGGCACTCTTGGTTCTGAAACTTGCACTCCTAGATGGAGGCTGGGGCTGCAGAGAGCAGGCACCCGAGATGACGTGGGGAAGGGAAGGGTTCAGAAGTGGGCTGGGTGGTGGTTGCCTAGGGGAAAAGCACGATATCCACTGGAATTGTTCAGTTACAATGGCAGAGTCTGTGTGGTTTCAGAAAAAAAAGGATATTTCTGAGCATTGATGAAAGCACCCAGAGTTATAGCTAAGGAATCTTTCTCCAGCTCCCGGTTCTGCTTTCCTCTTCGGGGGCTTCGATCTTGGCCAGGCCCACCCAATATGGCGGCAGAGACAGTCCCTGTGGCTCCAGGTGGATGGGCTGCCAGCATAGCCTCTCCAGGAAAGCACTTCTCTTTGTCCTAGAACATCCAGCATACGGCTGAGGGTGGGATCTCATTGGCAGCTGCGTCTTCTAGACATTTCGGAGCAAAGCACAGTGGCTGGGCCTGGAGCTGAAAGGAAAGTTCAGCTCCACTCAAACCACATGAATTGGCAGGATGGCAATGGCTTCTTAAGGGAAACTTAAGGTGCTGTCATAAAAAGTCGGGGGAGCAGATGCTGGGAAGGCATGCAGGAACTCTTCCCAGACACCATAGCAGGAATGAAAAGTGCTAGATGGCCATTTGGGGGAGCAGCTGTGCTTTGGGGGTTATGTGCTTTGGGGGAGCAGCTGTGACGCTTATCATCCTCACCCTAGTAGCTCGACACCTACTATGGAGTAGATGCTTAATAAATCCTAGTGGAATGATGTAAATAGCACAGAACTGAGATTTAAAAATCCTGGGTCTTTGTCTTGATTCTGCCCCGAACTCGAATGTAGACTTTGAGCAGCGACTTCTCGTCCTTGGGCCTCTTTCGGAGAGACTAGTTGAGGGTTTGGCAAACTTTCTTTGCAGAGGGCCAGATAGTCAATATTTTGTGCTTTGTGCGCCATGGGGTTCCCAACGACTCAGCTCTTCCGATGACGCACAACCGCAGAAAAAGGCAATATGTAAATAAGCGGGCATTGCTGTGTTCCAATAACATTTTATTAACAAAAAGGCAATAGCCCAAATTTGGCTCTCTGGCCCTAGCTTGCCACCTGTCTGGTAGATGCTTTTTTCTTTCCTTTGTCTATTGCTGTGTGATAGTCCGCTCAAAAGTTCAGCAGCTTAAACAAACAGCAATCGTTTATTTTGCCCGCGCATCCGCAATCTGGGAGACTCGTAAGGTACACCTCATCTCCGCTCCAGGCATTTTCAGCTGAAGAAGCTCCATGGAGGCTGAAGGACCCACTTCCAAGATGGTTCACTCCCATGGTTGGCAAGTTGGCGCTGGCTGTCAGCTGGGAGCTCGTGTGGGGCTGTTGACCAGGGACTTCATACTGCTCCATGTGTGCTTCTCCAAGGGGCTGCTGGGGCCCCAAAAGTCGTTCTCATCCAACAGATGAGAAGAAGAAACTGTCAGAGTCGTAAGGCCTGAGTTCAGAAGCTGGCACGGTGGTGTGGTGGACTATTGGCCCAGTAGCCACAGAGCCTGGCCAGATTCAAGTGGAGAACACAGAGTTGCCACCTGTCAATGGGAAGAATGTCAAAGAATTTGTAGCCACATACAGTCTACCACGCTGAATGCTAAGGGCTCTGCTAGTTAAGATGTCCCATGGTTTGAAGGCTCAGTCTGACCTTGGATTCCAGGAACAACTGTCCAGTTCCCTAAACTGATTCTCTAAGAGCATCACCATACCCCATACCTGAATCCCTCAGGTCCCTTGACCTTTATAATGTCCCTGCAATCCCTCTTCTCCGTCCCCACCGCCACCACCCAGAGCAGCCTGAATGTTGCAGTGAGCTCTTAACTAGTCTCTTGGTTCCCAGGCTATCCATCTGCTGCCAGCGTCATCCTCCTAAAGCATTCAGTGCTTGCCTATCAAATCGCTAGGGACTCCCTCCTGCCACATTGGGCTCCATTTTCTTTCCCAGCCTTACTTCTGAATACTTCTTTCAAGCTGAAAAGCCACATCCTTTGCCTGAAATTTCTAATTCTCTCTTCCACCCTTCTTACTATTGAAATAACCCAGCTTTTTATTTTTTTAATTTTGTTTAATGTTTATTTATTTTTGAGAGAGAGAGAGAGAGACAGACAGACCATGAGCAGGGGAGGGGGCAGAGAGAGAGAGAGGGAGACACAGAATCCAAAGCAGGCTCCAGGCTGTGAGCTGTCAGCAGAGTCCGATGTAGGGCTCGAACCCACAAACCGCGAGATCATGACCTGAACAGAAGTAGGACACTTAACCAAATGAGCCACCCAGGCGCCCCGACACTCAGCTCTAATGCCACCACCTCCATGAAGCATTCCCTTAATCCTTTCCTCCCCTCCCAACTGGTTAGGATGCCCTCACTCTGCACCCAGGGACCCCAGTATTTCCTTTGGCCATAGCAACTATCACACGGTGCTCATGGCACTTAAAAAAAAGTCCATTTTCCACTAGACTCTTATCTCTTCGAGGGCAGAGATTTGAGCTTTTTCTCTTATAATGCCAATGCCTGGCACAGAGCCTGGCATATAGCTGGCATTCAGCAAATGTTTATTGGATGGATAAATGTTTGCTCATTACTTTTTAGGCAATTTTGAAAAACAGAATAGTAAACCTTAGAAGGCAAATAACACACTGGGGAAAAAAACAAACAGTTGTTATAGATATGATAAAGAGCTAATCTATCTATATTACAAAGATCCTTTATAAACCAATAAGGAAAAACTTAACCTCAGAGGACCTTAGGCTAAAAACACAAACAGAAAAGAATAAACACAAATGGCCAATAAACACACGGAAAAAACGTCCAACAAAGCCTTACAAATTAAACCCTATGCCACTTTATGTTTCATATTAGGAAGCACAAAAAAATGGCAATACTGGCTTGTAATTAGGTTATGAGGAAGGGAGCACTTTCATCCACTGCTGATGGAATATTCTTAAGCTCATTGTCACACGTTCTAAAAGTCTTTTAAATGTGCAGCCCCTCATAACCAACCATTCTACTTATACTTCTAGAATTTTAATTCCAAGGAGTTAATTAGTAATACGCCTGCATCTTCACATACAGGTCCCATTAATTCCTCATTATTTTCTGATTGATTGTTCAGCCTCTAAGAACACACTGACATTACAGTCACGGGAACGGATAGTATCTTACCACTGATGGTATCATACCAATATGGGGCCAAGAACAGAAACTCCCCTAGTCTGGTTATTGGACACCAGCCTGGGGAAAGCATTTCGAGGGCTGCTATAACTTATAGTTGGTCATGACTTATATAGGGTCAATAAATTCCATCATCTGCAGTGCCAGTTGGAAAATACCCAACAATTACTTGAAAGATCAGTTTGGGAGGGGAATTCTGCCTTGGCAACTAGAAAGGAAAAGTATTTATTGAGCACCTTCTGTGTGCCAAGAAGTTACTTACATGACTTCAATTTAGCTCTTTCTGGGCAGCCGTGATTATCCTATTTTACTGATAGAAAAACTAAGATACAGGACGCCTGGGTGTCTCAGTCAGTTAGTGTCCGACTTCGGCCCAGGTTATGATCTCATGGTCCGTGAGTTCGAGCCCGCATCGGGTTTTGTGCTGTACAGCTCAGAGCCTGGAGCCTGTGTCGGATTCTTTGTCTGCCTCTCTCTCTATCCCTCCCCTGCTCACACTCTCTCTGTCTCAAAAATAAATAAAAAAAAGAAAGAAAAAGAAAAAGAAAGAAAGAAAGAGAAAAACTAAGATACAGTGTAAGGAGAAAAACTAATGTATGAACCAGGCATCCCCCCCCCCAAAGCCCATGAAAATTGTACCTAGAATAATCCTTAAGAAAGTAGTGCTTGGACATGCTGTTATTTATGCAAAGGAGATTGAGCATAGCAATTCTGGCTGCTCTTCATTAAATTGCATTGAGTGAAATATTGTCCAACATCCACGTTCCGTAGCCTCAAATATTCTCCTGGGTACATAATAATAACCTATCCTTCACATGGGAAGGAAATAATCTGATTCTGAGCAGGACAGAGTGGAACAGACCGCTGAATGGATTCTCACTTGGAGCGTCTTCTTTTAAGTAAATTCTCAGTCAACATACCTGAGCATATTGTGATGATTGCCTAAGGACAGACTGCCCTGCCCTGGCAGCTTAGAAATTCCTCTGAAATTATTCCTTTTTGCACATTCTGAGAAATAAACACACAAGCCCCAAATGCGCATTTGCATCCACATGATAAGCTAATAATGATTACTTGGCTGATGCCTCACCCCTCCTCCAGAACCATAGTGTTTTTTCATGCCTCCAAGGAGCCTTGTGGTGAATGTACAGAACCTGGCCCAGGGTCTGTGACTGGGGTCCGCAGCAGAGAGGAGGGACAGGAAACCATCAGACTATTGGAAATGACTAATGGGGTCTTTTGTTTTAGTGCTGTTATTGTTTTGCAGGGATTGGTTCAATTCTCGGTTAAGCTTCTCAAAAATACTTGGATTTGGGGCGCCTGGGTGGCTCAGTTGGTTAAGCATCCACCTTCGGCTTAAGTCATGATCTCACAATCCGTTAGTTCAAGCCCCCAATTAGGCTCTGTGCTGACAGCTCAGAGCCTGGAGCCAGCTTCAGATTCTGTGTCTCCCTCTCTCTCTGCTTCTCCCCCACTTGCACTCTGTCTCTCTCTCTCTCTCTCAAAAAAAAAAAAAAAGTAATTTTTTTTTTTTAATATTTGGATCTGGTTTCTTGGAAGTTCAACAAATATATGTAGTCAACTGTGGATTTTTTTTCCTTTGGCTTAGTTGTTTGTTAAGGTATGTTTTGGTTGCTTTAAGTTCAAATACCTGCTTTGAAGTTCCGATGAAAGATGAAATTATACACAAGCATACACTCAGCAATAAAGGCAAGGAATATGATTGTAACCATTCAGAATGAAATCAAATTGTACCGCTCACATCAGCTGTCTTCTTTTATCCTTTTTATTCTTGCCTATCACCATTCTACAGATGGGGGGTTTATTGTTTAAAAAAAAGTTAACTGACTTGCGGCTTGTGTAATATATCCAATGATTCTCAGTCTCCTTGTGCGAGGAGATGCCTTTGAAAACTGGAGTTTGGGGCAGACCACATGGTGGGAAAAGACTTAAAATGTAGTAATTATGATATGATGGCTGCCAGAATGGGAGAGCATTCTAGAGCATCATTAAAGAGATAGTCAAGGAGGACCTGGGTGGCTCAGTCGGTTAAGGGTCCGACTTCAGCTCAGGTCATGATCTCACAGATTGTGGGTTCAAGCCCCGCATCAGGCTCTGTGCTGACAGCTCAGAGCCTGGAGCCTGCTTTAGATTCTGTGTCTCCCTCTGTCTCTGCCCCTTCGCTGCTCGCGCTCTGTCTCTCTCGGTCTCAAAAATGAATAAACACAAAAGAAATTTTTAAAAAAAGAGGCAGTTAACACACTGTTTCCTGGAAGGCACCATCCCCTGCAACTATGCCCCTCACCAACTAAACTTCTTTAGTGCCCTGACCATGCCCATAAATATTCTAGCCCCGCATTGTGCAATATGGAAGCCATCAGCCACATGTGGCCATTCTGAGTTGAGATGTGCTCTAAGTATAAAATACA